GCAATATACTATAAATATAACTCCTATGAGGAATTTACACAGGTGACATGTGATGGCAATTTTAACAATTATAAATAAAACAATCAAGATGGTAAGACAAAGCAATGATTGAATGCATGTGTGCATCTTGACATAGGGACTGGTGGTTATGTCTGCTGAACTGGAGGAAGTAGTGAGCAGCATTCTGAAGGGCCGCATCCCTGCCATGTGGATGAAGAAGTCGTATCCCAGCCTCAAACCACTGGGAAGCTACATCAGCGACTTTCTTGAAAGACTCATGTTTTTACAGGTAAACTCTTCAGTCATAAAGCATATACAGCACTTTTAATTTCACCTCAGCGCGAAGTATTTGCTTAGTCAAACTAAGTATCAAAGACAATACAATCACACTGCTGTGCAGGGGCAGTAAGAATCTTTTTTAAAGAAACTTAAAGATACTTTTTATTGCATATAAGGATGCATTAAATTGATAAAACGTTGAAGGCATTTATAATTTTACAAAAAAATCAAATAAACTTTCTATTCATCAAAGAATCCTAAAAATCATTTCCACAAAAATATTAAGCAACACAACTGTTTTCAATGTTGATAGTAATAAGAAATGTTTCTTGAGCCCCAAATCAGCATATTTGAAAGCTTTCCTCAAACTTTTGAATGGGAGTGTATGAGAGAAAAAAAACTTTCCTTTTATTACTTTCAGAAATACTGTGGACATATTTGGATTCGATAACCACAGTTTTGTTCCTAATAACAATTTCTAGTGATCAATTCAAGTCTTTACTTACCTTGGGATACTCAAGTGCACATTCATACAGCAGATGGAGCAGAAAGGTTTCTAGTGTGCATTGTGAGCCACGGGAAAATCACATGAAATGCAACTGACTCGTTGTCTCATTCAGTGTGCTCAGATTACAAAATTGCTTCTGCAAAACACTATAAATACATTATACAAGTGCCCTTCCATTCAATAAAAGGAAAAAAAAAAAAAAAAAAAGACTTCGAGTCTGTTAGATTCCAAAGACTCTTTTTAGCCTTCAAGTTATGCCTTTAGAATCAGTTGATTTTGTTTCTAATTTATTGATTTTGGTGTTTAATAATAGTATAATCTGTATCATCCACACAGTGCTGGTACATGGACGGCACACCTGCAGTGTTCTGGATGTCCGGCTTCTTTTTCACTCAGGCCTTCCTCACTGGGAGCCAGCAGAATTACGCCCGAAAATACACAACTCCCATTGACCTGCTCAGCTTCGACTTTGAAGTCATGGAGGACATGGAATATAAAAAAAACCCAGAGGATGGTGAGAAAGATAAAGAGAGAAGGAAAAGAAAAAGAGTATTGACAAGCATAAAATGTAAAATATATGAAAGGGAAATGGGTTACAAGTGACAAAAGGAACGAGAGACGCAGTTTCATTAACCCCTCACTGCGGCTGAGTGCCATCAATCAGAGTCAACATTACAGTGCTCTGACATCAGACCCCCGCTGCTCTTTCATCAGTACATGATGAGCATCTCTCCAGAGGAAACCCATCTCTCTGAGGCCATCACACACTGCATGAGGCTGGTTATGTGTGCGATTGACTTCAACAGATACTTTGTTGTGTCTACTTCATTTGTTGTTCAATCAGTTTATAAAATAGGGAGAGTTTTTAGTTAGCGTGCATGTGTGCAGGGGTGTAATAAGTACTTAATTATTTCAAGGAATTTTAACTGAATACTCTTACATTTCAATGCAAAAAAAATATACTTAAAGTGTATTTCTGCGCGTCTGCATGTTTTAATTCTTTATGAGCTCAGGGCTTGTTTTGGATTGTACGTATTGTGCATCATTTTATGAAAATTCCCGCAAATTTTGTGCTCACACCCAAAGTGCACGTACATAAAGCTGCCTCTCAGTACTAAATTGAGTTCTTTTTCGCTGCTTATTGCACTTAAACAGTCAATTACACATAAAATAATGTAAAAATGCCAGTCTTGGTGAATATTTACATATACACAGTCGGTTATGTTTTAAGTGAACGTGAACAGTTGAGAAAGAAAACACCTGTGTAACAGTATACTGGATCCATGCGTATAGGGTCTTAAAATGACAGCAGCCTGATATGCCTGTTGAAAAAATGTTTACTTTGTACTTTTAAATGTGGATCTCATGATATATTTTTGGCTAGATACTGTGACTTCTCATGCAATATCCATGTTTTTTTTTCTAATAATTAATCTTCTGTACTTTTTGTATTTGTGCTTCTGTCAGGTGTTTACATCCGTGGCCTTTTCTTAGATGGTGCCCGCTGGGATCGGAGAACAAAACGCTTGGCAGAGTCTTTCCCCAAAATACTGCATGACGCCATGCCTGTGGTGAGAGACTGTAAAATGTCTAATCTCATTCAAATAAGGCTGATGATATCATGCATATCCTCTGATGGGTAGATATTTCAAACAGAGATCACAAGAAGTCACAAGAAAGTTATTCCACTGTAATGATAGAAAATGTATTAGACTTGCAAAAACTTGTTTCAGTGCAATTCAAAAGTTTCAATGCAATTCAAAAACTGTTTGCTTGCAGGCAAACTATAACAGTAACTATGGAAACAAGAAGCAATCACGAGAGAAAAATAGCTCTTTTTTTCACCAAAAATGTGAATCAAGGGACATAATGCTAAAAAATAATTTCCTGCACAGAGCAGCTAAATCATTTGCACAGACTTTCAGGTTCTTCAGTCTTCAGATTAATGCAGTTATGAAAGCATGAAATGGTAGGTTGTTATTAGGTTCCATGTTTGAAAAAGTTCATCCACAAATAAAATGCCTTTTTTTCCCCTGTTGAATCCACTGGAAGCATTTAAAGTCTACATGAAACAGCATTCCCAAATTGACCATAATGTTTAATCAACAAGGAAATGTTTTTTTGTATTTATTTTTTATTATTATTGATAATGTACTAAGAAAGTAAATATGTTTGACTTCAATCTCAGCACAGCCTAATAAATCTTAGCCTTATATTCATCTGTACAGACACCCCATTTTTCCGATTTCCTTGAAGATGGTTTTTTTCATCACCATTTCATTTTCTCTTGAAAAAAGTTTAAGAAAATCTCAACATTAAAAATGTTATTTTTATATTTAAACACTGTACGATACAGGAATTCTAACCGTCTATATACGACAGGTGATATATTCAAATAGTTTGTTAAATCTAACAGAATGGGAAGAGAAAAAGACTACTGTTAGTTTTGTCCTTTTTATTCTGCACAATGGATGTTGCCACAATAAATAATGCATTCACTGCCTGTTTAATATTCAGACATTTCAGGAAAACTCATTACCAAAATAATTTTTTGACAAGAGCTCAACTTAATTAAACACGCATTTGCTTCTTACAGTAAAACTTTGAAATGCAAATTTCCTTTAAAGGCCATTATTAATTTCAGCTGGAAATATTTCATTGAAACACTGAGCTTAAATATACCCACAAGTTGTATGTATATATATAACCACCAACTTTTAATGTACCCCTTTGTTCCTGAGGTTTATTAAGAGCTTCTGATAAAAGGATTTGAATTAGTTTTTAGTGACTGCTTTCTTTGTTTTACAGTTAAGCCTATAGGAAAATGGGTTAGATTATCAAGTTTTTAGTGATTTTTTTTTCCTTTTTTACAGAGTTGAACAAAAACCCCACTCCTTTCATTCTGTTCGAAATGATGAAATAACTAACCACATCCCCCTGAAATTTCATTTTTTCATAGTAATCAAAGCAGATTGTTGGGAGCGAGGAAGAGCAATGATGACACTGTTTCTCAACTACACATTATCCACTCTGTCTGCAGATCTGGCTGAAGCCCATGAAGAAGCAGGATGTTCCAGAGCGCCTGTGCTACATTTCTCCTGTCTACAAGACCAGCGAGAGACGCGGAACCCTTTCCACAACTGGACACTCCACCAACTATGTCATTGCAATGAGCCTGAATTCAGACATGCCTCCAGAGCACTGGATCCGACGTGGAGTGGCCTTACTGTGTCAGCTTAACTCATAGATATTCTGCTCTGCTTCTAGTATCCTTCGCTTGAATCTTTAGAGAACTATCCGTGGCTGTTTATTTAGATACACCATTAAATATAAGTTCAGTAAAAAAATTATAAAATTATACCATTTAACAAACACCTAAATAAATTTCTAGGTTCAACATTTAAAAGATGATCAATAGCAATAAAAATAGATTTATAGATTTTTTGTAGATAAATTACAGCTTTTAAAAATATATTTTCATATAATACAGCATTTTAATATGAAATTTTTAATCAGCTTAAACTCAAATTAGGCTTGGCAAACTTTATTTTCCACTTCTAACAAAGAAATGCACAGACAATCAGCAAGAATGGCAAATGTATTGAAGACACTTTAACATCCAAGCTGTGTAATCAACTAATTAAAAAAAAAAAAAATGTTCTGCCAAAACTGACAAACTAAAATTTAAGAAAATATCTGGATGGTCCTTTTGAAATACAATCTAAAGCATGAAGAAAATTGATGTGCGTCATTTTTATTTATCGAGTTTATTCTTGCACCACATAACCAAGGTGTTTCATTTGAACTTCAACTTCATTTCAAAGACACATACACAGGATTTAGACCTAATCTCTGAAGACTGTGATTAGGTTTGCTCACATGACCCCCCCAAATTAAATGGCTTTACATTCAAGTTGTAAAAATTAAGTACTTCAGGGAAGAGGAAAATCGACAGTGTTCTCATCTCTTCATTTCTCAACACAACCAATGTAGACAGTTTGCTTCATGCATGTTTCCATCCAATCAAGTACATTTGATGAATGCAATGAACAATGATACACACCCACGACAACAAATAAATGGATGTCACATGGTGACAGGATAAGCATGAATCACATAACATGCCCCACCAACTCATGAGGATAGAGGATTCAAGCAGCGAACACAGCAAGTGGAATGTGTAGAGGCGACTGCGGGCATTTTTGGCACAATCTTAAACAAGAATCACATCAACGGGGGGCAGACTAACCGATGCTCTATAAATTTGATTGTAGTCAGGCTTTTATACAGGTTCACATAAGGCCAATAATTGAAATGTGTGCATTACTTTCAATAATAAGAGGGTCAACAACAAGTGTTTCAGATTGTCAAAAATCAAACAAATACTTCTTAATTTTTAGGTTAAAGGAATCTTTCACCCAAACTTTGTATGTAAAATAAGTTTAGATGGTTTAGAACTATCCAGAAATGCCAAAAAAAAGTCCTATAGCTAAAAAAAGGTAACAAAAAGCATGGTTAACAAAAATTAGTTTTCAGTAGCAAATCTCCTTTGGGGAACATAATTATTTCATGAACTTCAACTGCAACAAGATCATTATTTACAACACTTGGATATGAAAATCAATTTGGATTTATTTCCAGAAAGTTGTCGAGATCATGATACAATTTATCAAATGAACAAATAGACTCCCCAAAGAAAAAATAATGTATTCCTTGATGTACAGATATGCTCAGCTAATTGTTCATTTAAAATCACAGTGATTTAGCATTAGCTTTATTCATCTGACCTTCTGAATGCGATCAGTGTTGCGGCTGAACTGCATCACAGGCTATGCATAACACTGTTGTGTACCTTTTTCTTCAAATACTCAGAATTGGCCAAAACATTAGTACAATCTTAGCCAATAATGACAAAAAATATATATAAAAAAAAAAAAAAAAAAAAAAAATCAAACAATTGAAATTCTAAGACTGAGGACACTCCCATCACCATGAACAGCAAATATAGTGTAAGAAACAAACAAGTAGGCAATCCTGACAGCAAAGTGTAAATCAGTAAAGAAATGAGCTCACATGATCGTGGCACACAATACTGACCAGTACTTTTCAATAAATTAAAAGAATATGCAGAGTTGATGACAATAGGGCTCTGTTGCACCATTTTAGCGCCTGACACGGCGATGTGATACACTAGACATACACAGCACAACACGCCAGTTACAAATGAATGGAATGGACTATGAGCTACAATACATATGATTGAAGGAGCTCAACGTGACACTAAATGGGTCACCGATGAATAGCTGCTTCTCTCTAGGACACAGTTCTAAAAAACACTAAAGTATTAAAGGGATAACCCAAATAATGGGGAGTGTTTCTTGTGTGCTGTGCATATGTCTGACTGGACAAAGATACTTCAAAAAATTCAATAACGACAGAAGAGAATGGTCCAGAAGCTACATCTACAAAAGAGCCTGAAAATCACAAGTAACCTTTTTGAGTGGCCTAGAGAGGAGGAGATGAGAGAAGATGAAACGTAAACATGTTTGTGTGCATGTCCATGTCCACTGTAAGCTACTGATGCTGTCTTCTGAGACATGCTTGCAAGACTGTACCATCACAAAACAAAGCCACTTAAGGGCAAAGCACGAGTGTGAATGTAGCTGAATGATGCCTCCAGCTAGAAGCCAAAATCAATCACAATGTGATCCTCGAAGATGGCGATCAGCAGCATGAGGCCGAATCCCGTGAGCATGCCCAAGTTCTGCAGGACGAAGTGACCCATCTCACAGCGTTTGTGCTCTTCGCTGTCACCATGAAGCATCTCTGGTAACTGAAGATGAAGACAAATGTATATTGTTAGAAGATAACATTCAAACACTGGTAACTCAGAACAATTACATTTATTAAAAAAAAAAACACGAGGTATGCTGCAAATCTTAAAGGACAACTCTGGTGCAAAATGCATCTGTGTGAAGTTCAGCGAACTTCTGAACAGCGTTCATGGTTCGACTGGACGAGACTTTTCCAAAGATGGCTCCTGCCTGTATACATGAAGTGGACTATCTTTGTAAGTGTACAAACAGTTTAATAAGAAGATACTTTATAAAGCTCTCAATGCTTCGATTTGCAGGTAGGGCCCCTCATTATGTTACTGTGTTAGTGTGGGACTACAGTATTTTGGGCCTTGTTATTGATATTAACTAGTGATTATTATTTTTAATTTTTGTTGACTAGGTACCAGTGTGTTGTTAGACCTAAGGTTAATTTTGCCATCCGACTGAACTACAATCCTTTCACTGATGTCCGTTAAAAGGGATGTGCTCGACCAGCTCTCTTATCAACTTGCGCACCACAGTTATGTGTTACTATAGACACGCTGCCTGGTAGGCCTATCGGTTGTTGGTATCGGAGCATTTTTACGAGTACATGAACTCGGTATCGGTGCATCCCTATTTTTAATAATTCAAGCACTTTTCAAATACCTCTTCAAAAATATGGCTGTTTTCAAGGGATTTCCAGGTCTTAAATTTCAAAAAGTCAAATTCAAGTACTTTAAGCACCTTGTTCACGAACCCTGTAAAAACTCAGATTTTCCATTACAGGAATAAATAACATATTAAAATATATTAAAACTGAAAATGGTAATTTTAAATTGTAATAATATTTTACAATATTCAGGGATGTGATTTTTCCGGATTAATCCGGAATTCTGGATTTTCCGACCTGAAAATGTGACCTACGTGAATCATGCAGATCTGTAAAAAAAAAAAAAAAAAAAAAAAAAAAAAACTCGGTATATTTTTCTTTTTTGTCCTTAGCCAATCACATGCCTGTTTTTACTATATTTTTGATTAAATAAATGCAGCCTTATTAACTATGAGAATTGCTGCTAAAAAGCCCAGAAAGATCGCACCGTAACTGGCAAGCTAGGATCATCTGCATTTTGGTTCTCTCACCATATCCACTAATGCCACATAGAGAAACATGCCAGCAGTGACAGCAAATATCCAGCTGGTGACATTGTGCGTGTACTGTCCCACAGCCGTGCCGATCACCATGCCAGCGTATGCCATAAGGGCAGAGAGGACATTGTACACAATGGCTTGCTTCACTGACATCCCAGCCTTCAATAAAACAGCAAAGTCACCTGAAAGAAAAAACACAAATGTGCACTATTAATGTACATTAAACAATAGTACAGTATTGTGCATATAGTTAACCCATGCTAAACCTGACAATAACTGCTGTGAAAATGGGCTGTTGTCTAAAAAACTAAAGAGGACTTTCCTGCTGCCACTCATTTCCTCCTAATTACTGAAAATATATTTAAGGAGCCTTCACATCCATCGGTCCTCTCTAAACTACACTCTGGACTTTTGGTCTGTCTCACCTGGCCCAATTAAATCAGTCAAAAGCAATTAAAAGCCCTTCAGGGTGGTAAGAAACCCTTTATTATATAAAAAAAGAGTTATGTGTTCCATCACCTCAACTAGATGGCAAACAGTAAATGAATCAAATACAAAACATAATTAATACATCAAAGGCACACTGTTTGTTTATTCTGTGGTATTGTAGTGTCTGGTTCTGTTTAAAGAAAAAAAGGAAATTTTAAATAGAGTGGCCCTCTAGACAGCTACCTGTTTGCAGTCTTTTAAAACCCATATGTGCTGCCGTGTTGTTTTAGTCCAGTGTTTTTGATTCATTCAAACATGAAAAAGAGAGCACAGCAAAACAGCTGGGGCTTTTCGCCTTGATGTTCCTGAGTTTGTGTCAATCAAAAATGGATAAAGGACACCTCATTGGCAATAAAAGCTCAAGGCTTGCACCAGGATCGCCACATCACCCTAAAGCTAAACCTGACCTCACTCATTGACATGATGTCTTTTTTTTTCAGGGTTGTGCCCTGTTCACACCAAGGACAATAACTATAAAGTTATAATAATCATTCTAATTTTATTAGAATGAGCACACTACAGCTATAACAATAACAGCACAGAGGAACGATATTGTTGGAATCGCTTTCAGAAAATGAGAATCCAGTCAACTTTAAGGTTCATGATTTAAAATAGCAGAAGACATCATAACTTCAGCACAAGCTCATAATAAACAGAATGTTAACGTTTGATGTGGACACTAAACATTTTACTGCACACCTAGAGGTCCAATGAAAGAAAATGGATCTGCAATTCTAATGTGTTGTCTCTTGACTAAGCCACTTACCTAGTTCATGGGGCAGTTCGTGACAGAACACAGCTACTGAAGTACTAATACCACCCGTAATATTAGCACTGAAAGCAGCACCTGTAGGTGACAAGACACATTTCCTAAGATACAGAAACCCTTTTAGGGGTGTCACGATTCTCCAAATCCTCGATTCGATTACATTTTCACTTCTAAGGTCACGGTTCGATTCGATTCTCGATTTGTATCAATCGGCCAATCAGGATGCTCTCTGTCTTGCATGCGCTTTATGAGGCCGTGCGCGCATTATGGTTTGGAGAACATTTTTTTTCTGGCTCTCTCACTCCAGATTCCAGGAGATTTGAACTAATTTCCGCAAGACTTGGGATGTCTGTAAACTGTGGCTTTTTTGAAGCACGAACGTTGTCAACATAACTCACTGGACATCCAAAAAATTTCCACACCTGCGACTTCAATGAAAGAGGAGTTCTGTTGATGGGACTCCTGCATCTGCAGTTGCCATGTTATCTTTTGAATGGCTGTAGCTAAGTTAGAGGGGGTTGACCATAGACTCGCAGCACTTCAACACGCGCGTTTTTTACGCTTGGCAAGCCGAACGGACTTGACATGTAGGCGTGGCAGCATCGATGATTCCATTTTTCAATTTGAAGTTCGAGATGGTGAATTAGTTTTGATTCGAAATCGTGACACCCTTACTTTTGATTAAAGACAAATTACTATGCTACTAGTTTCAATGTAAACAAAAAACTGACCTATAGCGAGTCCATCACTAAAGTTATGCATGCCATCTCCCATAATGACCATCCATGCTATGCTGGCAATCCCTGCATCTTTCATTTCCTGGTCAGAGTGACAGTGCCCATGGTGTGAGTGACCATGTCCATGTACATGTCCATGCTTTTTAGACTTGGCCTTTGGCCCACTGTCCTCTTCTGTTTTTACAGCTTCCTTATAGGGGTGTTCTGAAACAGAGATGGCAAGTGGCATCTTGCTGGGTGAATCCAGACACTGCAACTCCGTCATCTGAGTGTCATTGTGTCCCGCTTCGCAAGTTGTACTGTCTCCTGCATGAAAAAGAAAGGAAAGGAGAAGCAGTTATTTTTGTGGTCTGCGCTGACTCATCTCTGGACTGGAGGATGAGAACACTGATACAAAAACATGTTTTATTTAATCCAAAGGAAAGTATTTTTATGCTATCTGAATAGTTCAGACTGAGACTCAACCTACTCAACTCTCGGCCAGGACTCAGACTTCAATGAGCTGTGCCGACTCAAATGCGGAGTTACCTCTTAAATTTTACCGCACCAAGCTTGTTCATTCTTATAAGATCAGTATATAGGAGGAGACTCGAAAGGATCTTCATGATATCAACACGTACAACTTTAATTAAAAGCCAAAAAAAAATGTGTTGGGATTTAAATAAGAAATGAATAACCCACCTTCTGTTAGAGGCTTCAGATGAAGCCACTCAGCATCTGAACGCCTGTTGAGTTTGTGGTCTGACAATTTCCTCCCGATCTCTACCTGCTCTCCATTTTTCTTTTTCTGGCAGAGGCCTCCCTGTGGAAGGCATGAACATATAATTGTTTATAAGCACTAGGTTGAGAAGGTTGTATCGCTGTGCCCCACTATCTGCAGCAATTATGCTGCCTCAACTCTGTCATTCTTAAACAACCATGCGTGAATGGTTTTCTTGCCATTTATGCAAGATTTATAACATTTCTTTAAACTCAAAAGGTATTGTGGTGTCTCTTACCCTTTGGTCGCTGTAGTGTTTGAACATGCCAATGCAATGTTCAATAATGAAGAGGAGGTAGATTCCTGCTAATGCAGTCAGTCCTTTCCAAACTCCATCAAACTTTGTCAAATAATCCTCTACAGGTTCTTCGTCTGTATGTCCTTCAAAACTGTGATTATGATCTCCTTGAGACTGAAAAATATAGGGAAACAGTTGAAAAGTTGACTGTTTGGACCTTTGCGATGGTAAATCTATGTTTGTGCCAAAAAATGATCTTACATGAGGGAGTAGATGCAGTAAGGCATCACCACTGAGGGTTCCCACCGCCAGTGCCACCAGGAAGGTCAAGAGAAACTTGAAGCAGGACTGGTTGAGAATGGGCACCAGAATAACACCCAGCAGAGACAGCAGACTGATGATGGTGATAGACACAAAGCCCCACATCCAGACCCACACTGCAGAAACATCATCAGCAGCAGTGGGTAAGACTGCGATCACTGGACGCATAAGGGCTTTTCACACTGCACTTAACCCAGGGTTATCGTCATTCTAAACACCACTTTTATATACTTTGTCGATACAAATTCATACTAGTACAGGCTCACTTTTACCTGCAGATGTTGCATCTTGTGCCTCGGACTCAACGTGGTGATAATGAAGGATGCAGAAGCGTCTGTCTATCTGGTAGAGCAGTGCTGGACATAAATAGGTGAACTGCACTGGAGATATGAGAGAATCTGAGCTCAGTCCATACTGGTGTAGCAGCTCGGTTAAATTCAGACACTGATGGAAAGAGAGGGGAGGAGATTTTTACTTTGCATTCATACACGACTAATTTCTCAACAAATACAAGGAATAAAAATCACATATCAAATATTAGTACCAGTGGTGTACAAGATTACTTTCTCGAAATCTACTAGTTAATAGACGTCTGAACAACTAATATGTGTAAAGGAAGCACTGTGTTTAGGCCAGTTCAGAATCAAATTCTAATTATGCTATAATATCCATAATTACGCTTTTTATTCCCAATGGTACACATAGTACTAATATTTGTATTAGGGTGTTAGTACACAAATCAAGAATTTGAGTAAATGTACAAAGTATTAAAGTACTATAGTAGAATTCATTTTTCAATTTTATATGTCATCCTATAATAAGAAAGAAATATATACTGATCTGCATATATTGCCAAAACCTACTGTATCAAAACATTAAACTTCGATATTCTGAAATAAATCAAATTACTGATATTTAAAGCAAGCAAACAACTGAAAATAACAATATATACCATATAGTATTCAACAATGAATTTATTCATTAATTTGCATTATTTAACGTTAAATGTAAATAAATACTTTATTACTGTCCACCTATGTTAATTCCACAAATGTGTCATAATCCTCACAAAAATAAACTGAAAAATGCATAGTAATTTATATGCCTAGCTTGAAGTCGTCCAACTGTAACCATCTTCTGCAACATTTTTGTTTAAGTGCTTTTATGAGGCTAAAATTTTACTACCCTAAAACCAATCCCTGATCAAGCTCTTGAGGCATCTGAAGAGCACTACCATTTAAAAACAAGCATATGGTAAGACAGACGCTGAGATGTACCTCCTCATGTTGGTGAAAAGCACCGTGTGCATGTGATTTGACAGACAGATCTTCTCCTGGCACCTCCCTCCTGCTCCTCTGCGGCTGAATAGGGCTGTGATCCTGGTCATCTCCGATGGTCTCCAGCTCCACGGCCTGAGTAACAGTGATGCTGGTTTTGTTGCGGCCTTGATGGGCTCTGACTTTAGGTGGTCTCCTATTTCTTCTTGGTTGTGTGGTGGGGAGTTTAGTGGGTGCAGAAGGCTGGATTCGGGGTGTGAGCTGTGGCGTTGCTGAGGTGTGCTCCACACTGTCTGGACCATGAAGATGAGGGTGGGTGTGCTTGTGGTGATGGTGGTCATGATGATGATGGTGGTTTTGGTCACTGAGATCATTGTTTTCTTGTGAATGTTCACTACTCTTTTGGTCATGATCATGTTCCAGTTGTTGTTGACTGTGCATGTGTGAATGTGTGTGGTCATCATCATGATCTTGAGGACTGTCCGTGACAAGTCTGTCGATGTGTTCATGATCACTGTCTTTCTCATGGTTATGTTTCTCAGATCCACTGCGAGTGGTGCTCTCGGATGTTTTGCTGCACGGTAGCTCGTCGTCAGAACCGTGTTCTTCATTCTCATGGTGGTTCTTGTGGGAGATGTGGGGCTTTTGGTGAGGGTGCAGATGACCGGCTGAATGCGAGTGCCGTCCTTCCTGAACTTCGAGAATATCCAAGTGTGCCACATGATCGTGCCCAAGATCCTCGTGCTCGAGCCCAACCACCCGCACCTCGCCCAGCCCTAAACTCAACAACAAACTCTGGAAGCCTTTAAAATCCAGACGATCCTTCTGGCCGTACCGACAGAACAACTGGTGAATGTAGTAACGTTGCTCATTCTCTGCAGGTTCTCCATTGCTGCCGTGTACTAACCGGTCCGATAAGGTATCGCAGGACAATTCTGAAATCTGCAGGTCGCTGTGGACATGGTCACCGTGGTTGTGCCCGTGGTGATGGTGAGACCCTCCTTCATGGCAGTGGCTGCACTGATGGTACAGCAGGGTCAGCACACAGAGAAAGCAGAATCTGGTATGTGTGTGAACTCTCATTATCTCCTCGCTTAGAAACCTCTGTGAAGAAATATAAATCCAACAACTCAGTACACCAGAAATACACCTAAGTTGTTCTACAAAACGCAATAGGCTGTATGCCAAACGTCACAATAACACGCGTTATTGCATACAATTGTCAGAGAAAGTGTTAACAGCAGTATGAACCTGAAGGTCATCAGCTATTTAGCCAATTAGTTCTTCTAACAAACATTTGGATGTTAAAATCACACAAAATGGCAAGAATAAGAATTTTTTACTTTTTTTAAATGCACGTTACGGACATCACTTATGCTCATCTTTGGTAGCTTCTTTTTAGGCATCTCGAGTTTAACAGCTCCATATTTAACGCTGCTTTCAAACGCGGAAACCATTCATAACTAAAACTTTTATTTTTCATGTTCACGTTGCAGTTTCGTGAATGCCAACCATACTAAAATGTGGGATTGAATCTGAGATTGCGATGTAAAAAAAAAATCAGCCATGTCAACATAGATCTGTGCATTAAGTGTTAAAGTTAACTCAAAAATGTGACGCTTTGACGCAGCATACAGCAATGTTGTGCATTTTAATGAGTTGATTGGGAAAGTATTGTGAAAACAAATTAAAAAATTGGAATAATTCGTAATAAATCATTATTCAGTGTTTTGAAGTGCCCGAGATAATAACATTGTGCATGTTCATTATTGTGATATCTCGTAACTTTCGTTCATTGTCAGAACATAAATAAATAAAAGACCAAATTAAATCTGCTCATCCTATGAAGCGATCAAGTTTTTCAGAACATTTGGACTAAACCGCTCAATTCATATGGATTAGTTTTCTTACGAGAGGTTCTCTCGTACTGCATAATATCTTACGCTGGGGGGAAAACCTCTTGTCCACGAGATATTGAAGCCAAAAATTATCCATAATTTTGAATTAATGTAAAAGGCAGCATGCAGACATAGGCAAGGCGGCTCGAGTGCCTATTGGCCGTCTTGCGGCAACTGCAGCAGCCTATCGAGAGAGGCCCTTTGGTGACGGTCCAATGGGCGTCTATATCCTTTACACTCTGCACAAGTGTGTGTCTTCCGTCGCAACTCGCACTTTCTCTCTAAAAGAGCTTGCATCTTTTTAAAGATGCCATCGTCCTGTGCCGAGCCCCACTCAGCAACAGGGACCGCCATGTGATCTGCGTTTCCTGCCTGGGAGAGGATCGTGCAGCTCTTGCGCTCGCCGACGGCAGCTGTCCTCACTGCAAACTATTGCCCATGCCATGGTGACTCTGAGGACTCGCCTGGCATCCTTCTCCGAGACTGCACTTCCACAGTTCAGGCCGAACAAGTGCAATAGAATAGAAATTGACAACATTGTACCATGATAGGCTAAATCTGATTATTTAATAAAAAATATAGCTTTTCATCTTGAGAGCCTTATTATATGGAAAAGGATGGAGGGGGGACATCTAGATCTATTATTTTTTTTCCAGGGGGCTGACAGATTCCCTGCTGGAAAAGCAATGAAGAGCTTTAATGGTCCCCCTACAGCAACTACTGTGAGCCTTGGAGGGGAAAAGTGAGATCAATCTGCGATTAAACACAACAAAACAGCCAAGAGATCTCAGCACGAGAAAGAGTCTTTTCTTAAATCTGCATGCAAGAGCCACAAATAAGAAATGTGAAATGGATATGCTTGGAAGTATTGCCAAACACTTTATTCCAAATGCATTGCCATTTATTCTATAATAGTTTTAACTCACTAGCAAATCTCAAAAACAAATCTTTCCAAATGCATCTGAGCAGAGAGTACACTTTACATGCATAGGAATACTCTAATATTAAGAATTTGGTTGTAGTATGATTATGAAAGCATCACATAAATGCATTAACCTGATTGCTATAACCAGATTACACCAATATTCCATTTTCTAGAAATCTGAAAAAGTTATCTTGTATGTTAAAAACAATATGCAAAAACAATAACATGCTTCAGCTCCGTCAGATAATCATTTATCAAACTTATGATTCCTTTCCGATAGGGAAGTTAAGTCTGCCAAAAATAGTAAATGCAAGGTTGAAAGTACATAAAGATCAGCATAATAGTTGTCTACAGTACGTTAAAAGTTACACGGAAAAAACTGTTTGCTTTTTCATATCTGCAAAAACAATTTACTGTAACAAATGTTAAGCTTTTTAGCTTGTGCTTAACTTACTGAAATAAAAATTTCTAATAAAACTCAAGTGAAGAAAACCTACAGAGTAAAAAGTATAGTGCATAGAATAGAAAATAACCAAATTTATTAAATGGCTGTTTAAGCCAAAATATCCTGTGAACAGTACTTACGACAGTCTGCGCTCCAGTCTATTAAAGCGTATGAACTCGTATTAAAGCGTGAAGATTGTCAAAACATAGTATAGTTATGATCCTTCCCCTCAACAACACAGTGTTTATAACCATGAGAGTGGAGTGACCTCTGAACCCTTCAGGAGATAGGATAGGCCAGGAGCACAGCCTGTATGAAGATAACCCTGCCTCATTGTGCTGGCTCAATGCACTCTTTGTTGGTTATATGACATCCCAAAAATGGCTGATTATTTTTTTGGGGGAAAAATCCTTAAAATCAGCACAGTCATGTGCTGCAGAGATATCATAAGACAAATACTAGTGTACGTGAATTTATTTAGTCGGAAAACAAGTTTGTGATCAAGTGAAGTGAAAAGGCATGTGAAATCCAGAGGGGCTCTTCAACTGAACATCTTAAACACCTCTCCACTGTTTGCAAATGATCATTTTAATTTTCATGTGAAATATGCCAATTATAGCATCCTCATCATTACAGGGAGTGTTATAAAACTATCAAATTTCCAGATTTTAAAAGTTAAAACGTGAAAAATTTGATGTCTTTAAAATGTACTAGTAAATCTGAATCAAGATGAATATATCAAGATGAAATATAAAGGAAATTTCAGAAACATTCAGTGTTGTACAAGCAATCCTGGCAAACAATTGAAAGCAAATCTGAACAAATGCTGGCAATATCATAACAGATGACACTCTAGTAGGGTTCTAAAGGAAATGGCGTCAGGTCGGGTCGGACTCGGGTCTAATTTTATTGGGTCTGTCTCAGGTCGGGTTTTTCGTAAAAAAAAATAAATAAATAAAAAATGTATGCATGTTGGGTTCGGGTAAGTAGTGTTTCGGTTCGGGTACAGTTTTTAGGACCCTAAAGAAGACCTCTAGTGCAGAGACCATTCCCCTGGGGGAACAGTGTCCCGGGTCGTTTCGGTGGCCTGGCACATGCGCAACTCTTAGCGAGAGCAGATGGTGTTGAGACCAAACGAGGAGGCAGAGATTTCTGGATCGTTTCATGTAGAACGCTACAGACATGTTGTCCTAGCGGACTAGAACATGGAGGTCCTGTATGAACAGGAGGAAACACTTCAGCGCATTCTCGACCACTATCATTTCCAGACAGTTTATATGGAGGAGTTTTTTCCTGGTATGACCACAGGCCAATGACTGGTCTGCCCTCGAAGGGAGCAACCCAAGTTAGACGAGTCTGTCGAGATGACCTTTCGGTATAAGACAGTTCCCGTAATCACTCCACGCTGGCACCAGTCGGCCGCTAACCAGGGGCGGCAGTGCTGTAATGCGGTGTAAAGCTGCAGAGCAGAGTCACTCTGATTCCTTCTGGAAAGACGTGGCCAGTCACTGAACAAATGGCGCACGCTGTTTTGATAAGCGAGCCGTCATAGCCACAGAGTTCAGTTCAATTGCTAAAAAGGAAATTGACTGACTGGGCAGTAATGAGCTCTTTTAGATGCTATTAAACCTTGCAAAAAGGATACGTGGGGGATAGCGTAGCTCGCAAGGAAGGGTGAAGGTGGCGAAGATGGCCAGCTTCCTCAAGCACTGTCCTAAGCTGGCTTGTCGTGGTTTCTGGTTTCTTCTCAAGATCCAGCGAAGCGGAGAGCTTCACTGAAGAGATGAAAAACTTTTGAAAATATTCTCTCTGAAAAAAGATTCAGCCTCCGAGCCCTGCTTATATACGTTAAGCCATGGCCATTCTGGCAGGCTAGGACGCGGTAAGGACGCGAGTGCCCTTGATTGGATGTGACGTCAAGTCGGGCTCAATGGTAGGCTGTTGCAGTTGCTGCAGGGCAGCCAATGAGCACGCTAGACAGCCTGCTCTAAGTCTGCTAGCTGCTGTACTGCGTTGACAATGAATATATAATTAAGGATCATTTTTTGGCTTCAATATCTCGAGAAGACAAATCTTTCCAGTAGTGTAAGCTAAACTTACGCAATACGAGAGAACCTCTCATAAGAGAACTCTGAGCAGAAAACAAAACTGATTACAGTATTAATGCTGTCTTTCCTAACAGTGCAGCCAAAACAAGAATCATTTTTTTTTATAAAATATTACATTATTTTGATAAATATTTGTCAGGAAACTTGACTATTTGATCTTTTACTGACAGTTCACTTGCCTCATAATGTTTAAACATAACTTTATTAGTTAGGCTAGTAGTTTTTGCTGTGGTATTCAAGCTTTTAAGTAATAAAATTAAATCAAGTTAATAAAGTTAAAAGTGAATGGAGTAAAAACATTAAATGTTCTCTTTTTGAGAAAAGGCTTGTAAATGCCTCTCATTACAAGTTTGGAACAATGTTTGTCACGTGTTCGTTTTTCAAATAAATGCATGCCAATCTCACAGCGCTTGCAGAGATGGAGCAGCATTAACTGTGATCGAGCCACTCTGAACAGTGCTATGCTTCAACATGACCCCAAAAACCAAACCATGGCAAAGGTTCAAAAGAAAACATTGGGTGAACTCCAAATGACATGGGTACCTACATGATGAATGTAGAATTATGTAACTATCTTTAACAAAACTTAAAGGAAAAATGTTTACTACATCTACAATGGTAAGTTGCACCATTCTCCTTTGTAGAATACATTCCTGTAATAAGCTCTTGGGCTGTTGCTAGCCCAAGTCCTGTTGTGATGCATTAAACTGGGCCTCTGAGCAATGGAG